ATAGTATAGTATAGTATAGCTCGTTTTCTTTATGTAGGCACTTTTCCAGTGTAAACACATTACTTACCAAAAGAAAAAAAAAAAACATTGTTTGTTTAATCCACACACAAAAATGCAAAAGTGTTGTTTTAAAGATACTTGAATGGATGGATAGATGTAACCTTTTGTCATAACTGCTCTTCTGGTGCCTCTTGCAAGTTTCCGGTTTCCATGACGCCCAAGAGGAGGTGTAAACTAGTCCAACCTCTGATCACTGAGGCACATGGACTGTCTGTTTAATATGTGACTCGGTTTTTGGATCACTAGCCTGTTTTATTCAATGTTGCTGCTCTGTGACTGGTAGACAAACCTTTTATTGCTGCTGCTTTTAGACGTACTGTTACTTCTTTTACAGCAGAAGTGTAATGGTGTTAACCAGTTCTCCCTCTCTCGTCTTCAGATGGTTCAAAATGCTGCTGCTCATCTTCTGACAAGTACAAGAAAATTTGAGCATATAACCCCGGTTCTGGCTTCCAGTCCATTTTAGAATTGATTTTAACCTTGTGCTCTGTTCGGGTCATTTTGTCCCGGATTCAATTTTCACGTTAAGAAAAAAAATATTTCTAAACATTTTTTGGGCTGAAATTTAAATTCCTTCACTAATTTTGTGTGAAGAACACAAATCTAAAGAAATTTTTGATGCAGGACCACCGCAAACCAGACAAAACGACCCGAACAAGGGGGGGGCAATAGGTGTAGTAGATGCGAACTGAGCACAAAGGTTTAACTTTTAATTTTTGTTTCTAAGGCTCTTATTGGTTTGGCCCCATCTTACCTCACTGAATTAATGCGTTGGCACAAGCCAGTTTCTTTTAGAGGTTCCTAGGGCCAGATAAAAACACTGGGGTGACAGTGCTTTTACTGTTGCAGCTCCTAAATTGTGGAATAGTCTTTGTAGAATAGTTAATATTAGATAAGCTACTGACCTCACTACTTTTAAATCCTTGCTTAAAACACACTATTTGCCTTGGCTTTTAATGCACAGTAGGGCCTGATGCATTCCTTTTAATCTAATTTATTGAATGTGTGTCTGAGTTGTTTTATTTTTGCACTGAACCTATATATTTTATTTTAGTTATTTATTTTGATTTTTTTCTGTCTATGTAAAGTACTTTGGTCAACTGGATGTGGTTTGTAAAGTGCTATAGAAATACATTTGATTTGATTTGACTCTAGCTTTATGCTTCCTGAGGGTGGTATTGATCTTCTTATTCTTAACAGAAAAACAACCTATTTCCCAACATGTTGAACTACTCTTTAAGAATGATATCACACCTGAGCCACAATAACCTCAGGTCCCTAGAAAGGCAAAGGACGCCATCCATTGAATTAAGCCACACAGCATATTTCATTTTGAATATCTTTTTTGTAAAATAATCATGTAAAATAACAGTAATTCCCTGTCGCACCTTGTCTACACATTTCTCTGACGCTGAGTAATTATTTAATTTAATCTAATGACTTTTATTGGCCAAGTATGTTACATACACAAAGAATGTGTTTCTGGTACAGAACCAAGACAGCCATCTGTGGTGCCACTTCTCTCTCTCTCTCTCTCTCTCTCTCACACACACACACACACACACACACACACCCATGGGGGCACTGTCCCTGCAAAGTGCTGACATGACCATTGGGAGCATCTCTTCAGTGGCTTGCCCGAGGACCCTTTGACATGTGGACTGGGGAGAACGGGAAACCTAATATTGGCAACAGGAACGACCTGCAATCAACAACCTGTGTTTAAACAAACATTTGTGTGATTGATTGTCAAGCTAATCAAACAACTGATTGGATATTCCTCTGTACAGTTGTGATTCGTAGTTACACCCAGCGTGTTGGTTATACTAAAACATAATTTTGGGGAATTCTTTTGGGAAAAGTATTCACTAACTTTACTTTTACGGTGTAGAGTCACCGCAACCACTTCACACATCAAAGGTCTCTTGCTCCACACTTAATTTGGAAGGAAAACCATCTTATGCTTAATTTTGGGTAATTTTATAGGGACTAATCTTTAATACCTTCACTCCGCCTGTACATAGTGTCATTAGTGCCAATGAAACAGTATTTTCAAACTATCAAATTCAGTTTAACTGCAGTGGTCTGGTCTTGGTCTTGACTCAGTCTCAACCCATTAAAGTCTTGGGCTTGTCTTGATACACTCTGGTCTTGGTCTTACTTTAGGTGGTTTTGACTAACACTAATCTGTGCACCGCTGCCACACTGTTCAATGAGTCTGGGTCACAGAAGACTTTTTGCATCGCATTGCATTAAGATATGTTTTTCTCCACATTAATATGTGTTTTGGAGCACATTTTAACTGAAAGAATTTGAAAAACTATAGCTTTAATCACTTACAGCATGGCTGGCAGAGAGTCGATCACACAGCATGAAATTCTGCCAAACTGTCAAACAAGTCTCAAAGCTAAACAAGAATTTTACCAAGGCACCATCTGAGCTCTGCTGAAAACTACACCTATCATCTGTCATCAAAAATCTGTCTTCATATCCTTGAACCTAAATTACCTTTAGCATTTCCACAGTAGTATTCATAGTAATTTAAATAGTTATGCCTGTTGTTCAGGTGGATGGGGAGGAAAGGGAGTACAGTGAAGACAGCTGTGTGAAGGAGCCTTCAGGACCACCCATGACTGTGGCTGTCCCAGAGTCAGCCCTAAAGATAAGTCATACATCACCTGACATCCCACTGGAGACCCAGGCCAAGGTGGAGAAAAACCAGGCCCACACTTTGGCCAGGGACAAAGTTCAGAGACAAATCACTGAGCCTACCTCATCTGTACGGTCAGTACACATCAATCACTGAACTGTCCAAATTTTGGTGCTGGCAAGTTGTGTGTGTAGGAATTGTAGTAGTTGTTTTATCAAGATAAACAGATGGTGGCACCAGTTTTGCAGTTAGGTGTCATTAATCCAGTGAAGACAAGGTTGCAACAAGATGTTGTAATTAAAAACTTTAAAATGGTAAGAAAAAATGTAGCTAAAAACATAAGGGAAATATGGCATTTATGCTGGTTACAATCTCAGTCCTTTCACACTGATTTTAGTCTGCTGCTACTTTTGCCTGTAAGTTGGCATTTAAGTCACATGTGTAATGTAGATGCTGATGAATTTGCTGAGTCTGTTTCCATTGCCCTTTGGCATATTTTTCTTTATTGATATAGCAACTTTTCTACCTCAGCCAAATGTAAAATGTTTGTTGCAGTGTTTCCACTCAGAGTTAAAGAGGGAAAAAAAAGGCATGTCAGGCTTAAAGGAGCACTGTGGCTTCAACAGTTGACATAGATAAATGAAAATCTTTAGAATGATTGCACATGTTTTAATTGTATCCTTTGTTACAGGCACAACTCAATCCGACGTCAGATGAATTTGTCCAATCCGGACTTCAACCCTGCTCAGTTTCAGCGCCAGGAGTCTCTGTCCGGTTTGGGCCGAATCAAACCAGAACTCTACAAGCAGCGTTCGGTGGACACTGATGACAGTCATCGCACCGACAGCTGTGGACGTCTTCACTTCATCCTGAAGTTTGACTTTGACCTGGAGCAGCTGATTGTGAAGATCCACAAGGCCCAGGACCTTCCTGCTAAGGACTTCTCAGGGACCTCCGATCCATATGTCAAGATCTATCTGCTGCCTGACCGCAAAACCAAGCATCAGACTAAAGTGCATCGCAAGACCCTCAACCCAGTGTTTGATGAGGTCTTTCTCTTTCCTGTGGCATACACTGAGCTGTCAAACCGAAAGCTGCACTTCAGCGTCTACGACTTTGACAGGTTTTCACGCCATGATTTAATAGGCCAAGTGGTGGTGGACAACTTCCTGGATCTTGCTGACTTTCCGCGGGAGACAAAACTATGTCGAAACATACAATATGTAACCTCGGTGAGATACAACTTTTTATCTGTTTTTTTTATATTTCATCACTGTCATTCTCTTCTAAATTTAAGAACTTACATCTGCTTACAACTAATTTACATAACAGATTTTTGCAACATGTTTACAGTTGGATATATTTGTAGGTTTGCTAGGGCAGAAGTGTCTGTACCAACCTACTGTAAATCCCATGTGTTTTCTTTAGTCTGGCCAGAATCAGATCAAACAAATAACAAAAGAGGAAACAACCCTGTTAAAACAGCTGAGGGAGTGAGGGATATCATTGGTCTTGTTTCTCAATTCCCCTCCAATTGGAATTCATCTATGGTTTCAAAAGGCAGAGACACAGAAATATACTTAGACACAATTAATGTTTAATGAAAGCAGTAGGAAACACTTGGGGGTAGTGACCCAGATTTACACTGATATAAGACTGGAGTTGGTTTGATAGAGATTCAATGACACTTATTACCTTATTCACTGGGATAAATCTACAGCACTGGTACACTATAATTCAGTGAGGGGTTTTGAGCCTCCTGCGAGGGAAATCCTCATGGTTTGTTTCACTTTTTGAGTGAGGATTGCAGCATGGTCTTGCAGCTCAATTTGGGATAGAAATGTATCTTTTCTGGTTTATGAGCAAACAGTGACATTAAGGCTAAGCAGGCCGACAGCACACTTAACAAGTTTAGTTCAAATCACAGTCTTTTTCTAAACCTAACCAAATTGTTTTTGTACCTAAGGCCAATGGCACTGTAACAGTTCCATAGCTGTAACCATGTGTTAATGACATAGTACCATGACACCAAAGGTCTTGTAAGTGTGCTGCTGGCAGTGTTCTGTGGGCTAAGTCAGGGACAAACTGTGTATATTGTTGCAAGATTTCACTCTCAGTAATATTAACAAAAACTGAAATTACTAATAGTGGGATGTCAGACTGAGACACTAGGCATGCATAAAGTATATAAAAAGGGATTTAGAAATATTTAAGCACTTACAGTATAAAAGACCACTATATAATATATTAATTGGGAGCCTGATTAATGCCTCCTAAAAAAAAGATGCTCAGTGCTTTAAAGGTGTTTTGTGTTCTGGCAGTTAAGACGAGTCCAACTCTTAAAATTGCTCTGAAGAAGTTCTGAACTTTTTGTTGAAGACTTCTATATGTTGGTATGCTCTGGCAACTCCTATGTTTCTTGTCTGTTGTGGTGCATAGAAACAGATCTATCACATACACAGTAGACAGGAAGGGAATATAAGAGTGTCCATAGCTATAAGTGTTTATCTTGCAGAGTGAGGCTGCAGTCAATCACATTATATAGAAACTGTCTTTTAACCCCTTACATACCGCCTTTTCGAGGTAGGATCGGCTTTATTCCCTCTCGTTTTGTGTGTGTCAGGCACAAAGCTGGGTCATTCTCTGGTCCGCCATGAGAGGTAGTACCAGAGGCGAAACAAAGAGGAAACGCACTCTGTGTGGAAAGGGTGAGCCGGGAGTCCGGGACCGGTTGCTAAGTTTTGATGATGTAATATGTGCACAGCACTATCACTGTCGTCTCAAGTCTGCACTCCTTTCTGCCTCGATCTGTTACTTACAGGTCAAAGCATTCCTGATGTCATGAATGCATTTGATTACAGTTATTAGTCATGACATTTACACACATACTAAAATCACTTCACATTTTGTGTGAAGAGAAATTAATGCTTGAAGAGTCAGCAAAGCTACATCCGCACTTATCTCTCCCGACATTGCTGTTTTGGCGTGTAGACTACTGTCACAAAATTTACATCACAGATGACACAGAGCAGGGTCATGTCCCACCTTTGGTGCAGAATGCTGGCCTGCTGGCTGGGTTCACAGGCTGGCTTGCTATTATACCATCCTTGGCTTGATTGATATGAACTGCACAAAGGTGGGATATTGGTACGGCAGTAGTGTGGGATCTCGGTGTAAAAACGATTTTTGACTGAATGTTGTAGTCAGATGACTGATACATCATCACTTCTCTACTATGTGAAAGTGAAGCCTAAATATTGTGAATACATCTATCTTGGCATTTTCAATCAGATTCTTTGCAGTAGTGATGAGAAATGGAGTGACAGCATCGGACCACCACTCCATCCATCCATCTTATTTTGCTTATCTGAGACCGGGTAAGATGCCCAGACTTCCCTCTCTCCAGACACTTCCTCCAGCTCCTCCGGGGTAATGCCAAGGTGTTCCCAGGCCAGCCAAGAGACATAGTCCCTCTAGGGTGTCCTAGGTCTTCCCCAGGGCCTCCTCCTGGTGGGACATGCCCGGAACAACTCCCTAGGAAGGCGCCCAGGAAACATCTGAAACAGATGCCCAAGCCACCTTAGCTGGTTCCTCTCAATGTGGAGGAGCAGAGGTTCTACTCTGAGCTCCTCCTGAGTGGCCGAGCTCCTCTAAGGGTGCACCCAGCCACCCTACGAAGAAAGATCATTTCAGCTGCCTTTATCCGGGATCTTGCCCTTTCGGTCATGACCCAAAGCTCCTGACCATAGGTGAAAATAGGAACATAGGTCGACCACTAAATTGAGAGCTTCACCTTACAGCTCAGCTCCTTCACCATGACGGTACACTGACCACATTACTACAGAAGCTGCACCAATCTGCCTGTCAATCTCCCATTCCATCCTTCCCTCACTCATGAACAAGACCCCAAGATGCTTAAACTCCTCCACTTGAGGCAGAAACTCATCCACCACATCAGGCACCAGAGACCTTACGGCCATTCGGACTTTATGTCTCCAACCTCAATTGGGATCTGGCCGAAGCTCTGCTGAAGGAGGGAGTTAAAGATCTCCCTGACAGGGGGTTCTGCCAAACGTTCCCAACAAATCCTCACAGTATGTTTGGGTCTGCCAAGTCTGTCCAGCTTCCTCCCCCGCCATCAGATCCAACTGATCAGTTAACATCTCCGCCCTTCTCTTCACCCGAGTGTCCGCCGAGCTCCTCTAAGGGTGCACCCAGCCACCCTACGAAGAAAGATCATTTCAGCTGCCTGTATCCGGGATCTTGCCCTTTCGGTCATGACCCAAAGCTCCTGACCATAGGTGAAAATAGGAACATAGGTCGACCACTAAATTGAGAGCTTCACCTTACAGCTCAGCTCCTTCACCATGACGGTACACTGACCACATTACTACAGAAGCTGCACCAATCTGCCTGTCAATCTCCCATTCCATCCTTCCCTCACTCATGAACAAGACCCCAAGATGCTTAAACTCCTCCACTTGAGGCAGAAACTCATCCACCACATCAGGCACCAGAGACCTTACGGCCATTCGGACTTTATGTCTCCAACCTCAATTGGGATCTGGCCGAAGCTCTGCTGAAGGAGGGAGTTAAAGATCTCCCTGACAGGGGGTTCTGCCAAACGTTCCCAACAAATCCTCACAGTATGTTTGGGTCTGCCAAGTCTGTCCAGCTTCCTCCCCCGCCATCAGATCCAACTGATCAGTTAACATCTCCGCCCTTCTCTTCACCCGAGTGTCCAAGGCCAGAGGTCAGATGAAACAACCACAAAGTCGATCATCGATCTCCAGCCTAGGGTGTCCTGGTGCCACATGGACACCCTTATGCTTGAACATGGTGTTTATTATGAACAAACTGTGACTAGCACAGAAGTCCAATAACAGAACACCACTCGGGTTCAGATCGGGGGGGCTCCCAATCACGCCCCTCCAGGTGTCACTGTCACTGCCCATGTGAGCGTTGAAGAAACCAAAAGAATGACGAAGTCCCTAGTCGGGGCGCTTTCCAGCACCCCTCCCAGAGACTCCAAGAACGCCGGGTACTCTACACTGCTATTCGGCCCATAGGCAAAAACGACAGTGAGAGACCTATCCCCTACCCAAAGGCACAGGGAAATGACCCTTTCATTCACCGGGGTAAACTCCAACACATGGCGGCTAAGATGGGGGGGGCTATAAGCAAGTCCACACCAGCCCGCCGCCTCTCACCGCAAGCCACTCTAGAGTAGTGGAGAGGCCACCCTCTCCTCTCGAGGAGTATGGTTCCAGAGCCCAAGCTGTGCATGGAGGCGAGCCCGACTATCTCTAGCCGGTACCTCTCAACCTCCCGCACAAGCTCAGGCTCCTTCACCACCAGCAAGGTGACATTCCACATCCCCAGGGCTAGTCTCCATGTCCAGAGAGTGGGTCACCAGGGCCCCTGCCTTTGACCGCTGCCCAATCCACTGTGCACTGGCCCCTTATGGGGCACAACCACTCAGACCTGTCAAATCAGCTTTTTATATCATCAAATAACCTTACCAGAAAAATCCCTTCTGTACACATCAGTCTGATAATATCTACCAAAAATGACAGAAGCCACCTAGTTCGGCTTATGGCCGTGCTGCAACCAGCCGCCAGGGGGCAATCGACTTTTAGTGGCTTCACTTCTGGAAGCTGTCATATCCTCCCTCTTTTATACAGTTCATACTGAGTTCTCTCTGATACAAACTTGCTGACCTGCTTGTGTTAGCAAGCTAGGTATACTTGTAACTCTTCCCATGCTATTTCCTGCCCTGCCTGTTTTTTTGCTACTCCATGCAAAATAAATGTAACCTAGTGAAATCTAGCCTGACCAGTCCATGGGGACGTTTTGAGCATGTTCACACGAACAGCATCTAATCCTTTTTTATGTTATTTTATGACTATTAATTTGAGTTCAACTTGACACTTTCAAAGGTTCACTGTGAGTCGCTCTGTAACCCCTCCCCTCATCTCCCGCACTGTGCTGCAGCTTG